TTTACCATGAAATTTGATGACTTAGAAAATAAAAATGCTTTTTCATTGAAATGGTGCTTTACATATAGTCTGACATTTCAAAGTAAGATCTGCTTGTATGTCATTAATACATCTGATGACAGGTCTCGTTATCTGTTTCTTTACAACCTTGTGAGCATATATGCTACTAAGCTAGAGGAACCTCATGTTCAATATATACCATATACGTCCCTATTAGTACCATGACCACCTAACAGCACAACATAATGCTACTAATCTTTTTATTTTTCTTGGGCACACATTCACAGCCATAATAAGAAATTAATACCAATTTGTTTTTAAAACTTTAGTAAGTCTTTGCAAGTGTTCTATTATTGGGTAGTAGATAGATTGAATGTTACCCTTTTAAAATGTTTGTATTTGAATGGATCATGATCCTCTCATATTGGTAAAGAACATGGTAATGTCATGTTATAGAGAATAAATTGACGTGCCTTGCACAAATAGTTCTGGGACTACAATTGTTTTCTGATTCTCTCTCATGACATGAAATTGTCATATTTCTCACTAACTCGAGAGGATGTACATCCTATTCAAAATCATATAGATTTAAGTTCCATGTAGGTGACCTTTCCTGCAGTGCTAGAGTTTTAATACCTCCAACAGCACCTTGTGGCCAGGGTCATGCCATTGGTTGCTCAAGTGGGGACTAGCTACTTACCCACTTACCAATAAATACGAAGAGAAACATAGAAGCTTGCATATTATTCTAGATCTTAAATATAAAAGATCTGTTCTCACTTATTATGAGAAAAATAATTTTTTGTCATCCATATATGAATGCATTTGTAATAACAAGTGAGAAGAAAAGTTCTCACTTGTTATGAACATGACAGTGTAAAAAAATTTAACCTGATGACAATGGAAGAGAACTAATTTTTGATTGTTCTGATTTGTCATTCTTTCTGTGATCTGATAAAATCTAATTATTTCTTCCCCGCCCTTTACATTCTTATGATTAAATCATTTTGACATGCAGAAGGGTTCCAAGGTATAGAAGACCTACTCGATACAGGCCATACTAGTGCAAATTCTCAGTTTAATAGGTGATCACATTTATTTATGATGAGACAAGGCGTTGTTAATTTGCCATTGTAATAATTTTCGTTGGTGGAGCAAGAACATAAAGCTTCCGTTACACAGAAGTTAGATGCCCTTGCCTGTTAACGCTGTAGAATGTATGATGCGGACAAATCTAGTTTGATCACTTCGTTACCCATATCTTGAATGTTCATAGCACTTGTCACTCAAGATTTATTTATACAGTGATGGAGGCAACTATGCAGGGAAAATTTTCATTAGTTTCTTAGTCTGAACATCAAAATTAGACTATTCAGATTTCAGTGTAATGTTGGATCTTTTAAAAGAATTGATATTAACAGTGTTGGAATTGGTTACATGCTACCGAAAGTCAGTTCTTAAAGCTAGCTTCAAGTGCATTTATTTACTGTTATTGCGTGCCATATGATATCCCAACTCGGGAAATTTGGATTAAAAGAAACTGATTATTCTGTTTGAGAACTTTTATAGGCTGTGTAATGTTTTCTTGTAATGCGTCAGATTGTTGTCGTGTTGGTCTCTTTTGTTATGGTACCAATTTCAATGAATACACCAAATTAATCTCTAGAATTGGAATATTTGATTCTTGAAATTACAAGCATATCATTTAGTTTTTGAAATTATCACTTAATTTAAGTTATATATTTAAAATTTTAAGAAACATAACAACCGTCGTATGAAAGCTTTAGAGATTAAATGACTGTTGCGTGGCAATTTTTAAAAATTAAAACAATAAAATTATAATAGTAGGGATGTAGACATTATATATTTTGAAAGTTTAACAGTATAAATTAACGAGTTATACAATTACACTTCCAAAAAAATAACTGAGGAACACAATAAAATATATATTAAAGAAGTTAAGCCCTTATTTTGTAATCCATGCCTTGTATTTTTAGCTGATTATTAGTAATTATCTACTAAATACCTGACAATTCTAAGTTTTTGTTATTGAAATTAAGGACACTTATTGATCTATAATAATATATGAAAATGATATAACTGACATACACATTTTTTATAATATTTTTATCTTAATAAGTTTTCTAATTATTCATGTACTTATTATAAACCATTAAATATTTTGTAATTTTTTATTACTTTATTTCATATTTTTCTCTAAAAAAAATTGGAAGCAATCAAAAGAAGTTACGGGAGGAAATGAGATTGGTTGGAACAATTTTTTTTTTCCTTCTTCTTTTGTTATTACGCTGAGGTACGAAACACTTGTTTTTTACTAGTTAGCATGATGTCATATTGTGAGGAATAAAATATGAAAACAAAATAGAACAAGAATATTGTTTTGCATTTAGTGCATAAAATAACAGAACACCGGATGATTTGTAACGTATATAATTTACTAATGTTGAAGTACATCACTAAAATGCAAGTCACACCTAAAACAAAGCAATGCTCAAAAGTTAAAAGTCGATATTTGAATATCTAAACTAACAATTTAGAGACACGCATGAGTGGAAGATTTTTTTTTTTTTTTTTTTTTTATTTTATTTTATCATAAATGGAAGAAAATTTATTGAAAAAGATGAATATCTTGAATAGGTCTCAATATTTTGAGAGAATAATATCGAATTCTATATTAAAAGATAACTTAAATTTACTAAAAAAAAGTACTTAAATTATTAATTTGAACTAGTATTAAACATATTTATTCCTTAAGTTAAAAAAAATATTATCTAACAAATTGGTAATGGCTAAGAGATTATTTTCTAGCTAGATAATCGACTTTCCATTCCAATTGATGATATTCTTAGCATCAACAAAGATGTGGCTACAAATTTTAAATCTAGGGTATCAAATTTCATATATAATGATGGTTCGAGAATTCATGCATGAATACAAAGTCAAATTGGTAATCTTTTAAAATAGATTCACATTCCTATAACTGATAAAAAAGATTGTCTTAGGTGAAAACACACTTTTATTGAGAACATGACCTATAAGAATGCCTATTCCTTTGCTAGAAAGCCACAGTCCAAGGTTAAATGGGGCAAACATATTTGGAACAAAGTCATTCCTCCTTCAAATACTTTTATCATCACATGGAGATTACTTCATAAAAGAATACCAACTAGGGACATGTTAATAAAAAAGGGAGTCATAATTACTTCAATGTCCACACTGTTATAATGCGTATGAAACTGTAGATCACTTGTTTTTCTTTTATCCATTTGTAGGCCAATTATGGAATTTGTTAGCTGCAATAACTAATCAATCTTTCACAGCTACATATATTTTATTTATATTATCAAATAAAACTTGGAGGAATCTTGCTAGTACTAAACTGATTGTTGCTATTACTTATATTATCACAGAAATCTGGAATAGCAGAAATTAAATCAAGTTTGAAAATACTTTTTTGGCTTATCAACATTTTAAAAATATAATTTTCTCTACTGTAAATAATTTTGGTTTTATTGCATCAAGTAATATGCAATATACAATATCTTAATTAAAAGTTCTTAAAGCATTCTGTGTTTCCTACAAACCAAGGAAACCAAAGAAAGTCATGTAGGTGACTGGATTCCTCTTCCTAAGGGTTGGATTAAAGGAAATACTGATGAGGCATATGTAGAGCATGGAGTCCTTTCTTCTTGTATTGTTATATTTAGAGATTATAATGTAAATTTAGTTGGGTGTTTTGCTAAATCTTTGAATGTTAATTCTGCTTTTGAAGCACAAATATTGGCCATCACACATGCTCTAGAGTTACTAGCCGCTAAAGGATGAAATGTTTTTCGATTTGAGACAAACTCACTTTTAACAATCAAGTATTTTTATGATCACTCTTTGGTACCTTGGACTTTGAGAAATAAATGAATTTATACTTTGGAATTTATCAGAAAGATCATATTTTGATTCTCTCACTTATATAGAGAAGGAAGTTCATGTGTTGATAGTATGTGAATTTTGGTATTAGAAATATTGGATATCATTGGTGAGATTATGTACCTATTTGTATAATACATAGTTTCAGTTGTGATAATTGTGACTTGTCGCATTATAGATTCTCTTAAGTGGGTTTGGGACGACTCCCAACTTCTCTTGTATTCTTTTATCTTTTCTTAATAATACTTAAAAAAAAATTGCAAAAGATTAATACAAACTATGATACTAACCTAGTTAAGATCACTTTCTATATGATACAATAGCATTTCTATTTTTTATTAAAAAAATATTGAAATTTCTCGTAATACCAAGGAATAAACTAATAACACTGTAATTTTCACATAAATAGTTAATTTATATATATATATATATATATATATAATGGGTTCTTGGAGTGCTCATACTTGATGTTATTTGATCCAAATGCAACACTTAGCATTGTTTGTTAAGAAAAACTATTTTTCATGCGTAATCTTTTGGGATATGGTATCCTTAAAATCTTGGTCACAATGCCATATAACGTGACTGCGTAAAATCTCTTAGAAGAACAAACAAAAAAACACAAATAGCAAATATGGCCCACAATATGTTCTGGGCTTCTGGTACAGATAGTGAATATTCAGTTTCAATTCATTTTACATTACATGCTAGTATGTCACAATGATCCTTTACAACCGATTTGGAACCTGTTTGTAAAATGATGCTGACTCCATTTTGCTGGAATTGAAAAATAGTTGCTTTGGATGTGTTTTTCTGTTACGTGGAAACAAACAAACACTTGGTATTCAACACGGTCTAACATTCCTTGCCGTTATTTCAAGCTTAATATCTAAGCCAAGTATTTATATTTTACTTCAATTTATAGTGAGTTAAAAGACCAAGGGGGAATTCAGATGTAGTTATTGATAATCACAGACATGTCACATTGTGAACAATTCTAATTCAGGACCCAGCCACATACATTCGTTTTGGTTTTCTTTCCCTTGTTCAGCTGATTTTCAAGAACAAAAATCTCTAGTCATTGGTTTTCAATTTTTCATATACGTTCAGATACTTTTGGCAACAATGTTACTTTGCTCAATAAGGCCCCAAAACATATGCTCTGTTAAAGAATTGAAATATTTCACAAAGAATTAATGTACAACAACCCCCAAAAACCATCATTTTGAAAATAGCTGGACCCTATTGACATAACAAGAAGATGCAGGATCCTGAAAGCAATTGCATAATGCATCCTCATCCTTAGGAAATGATGTTGGCAGAGGATGGTCAGGAATGACACCAACCTACACACAAATGCAGGAAATTAGTGGGAGAAACCTGTTTGGGAGGTAGAGAATAAAAAATAAACCTTGTTAATATCTGTATGTGCCGGTGTCTCATAGCGAGCAACTGTAACAACTAATCCAGAGCCATCTGAGAGCTGAAAAACTGATTGGATCTTCCTGCATGTGTGTATCTCTCATATTAGGAAAATGACACGAATTTTAGTTTTTTGGTTATGAACTGAACCAAAAGTAAGTAACTACCCTTTTCCAAATGTTGGCTCTCCAAACAATATGGCCCGTTTATTATCTTTCAATGCACCAGCTAATATTTCGCTTGCACTTGCAGTTCCCTTGTTTACCTGATACATGCTCAACATGTTTAATTACTCACTTTTTACTATATAAATGAGTGAATGACAAATTGGAAGAAGGACAGAACTATTAACACAGCATAATAGGTACATAAACAATTATTTAATAGGTGTACTAAATTTACCCCCACCCCACCCCCCAACTTTCCCATCTTCACAATTACATTATGGACCTATCTGAATCTGGTAGATCACCACCACTAAATAGTTCAATGACTAAAAATCCACACATTACCACGTAGTCTACAAATCATCCTAACAATGACTCATTATCCACATATTTGAACCGCAACTTGCGTTCTTAAATTATAAAATTCCCAATTAGCTCAATCTCATTCATTTCTAAACAGCAATAAGATCCTTAAACAAGTACATTAAGTTCTGCCAACAAGCACTCTCAATTTATAAAATGCACATACAATTACATCACAAGTTCCTAAATAATTATGAAACAAGTAGGAACCTTTAAACTTATTGCGAAATGAAGACGCATATTGTTAATAATATAGAGTTCTAGATGTTGTGCAAATCACTTTAAAACAAATAAAAAAAAATATTAAAATGTTTTGAAAAATTGCCTATGAACCACAAATGACATGAGAGAATATTTTAACTAGGATATCAAAATGGGATTACAGGATAAGAGTCAATTGAACTCTCAAACACCCCATGCTCCACAACTAATTAGTAATTACTATCTACGCATCTCTCTTCAATGCTACACGACTCTCTTGAAAGCTCCCTCTCATGCCCTACACAACTAGCCCTCAATACTTGCATGGCCTGAAAAATCTTGTTAAAGAAACTTGCCCACGAAAACCACCATATTTACCTACTAGCATTTGGGCCAACTCTTTACGTGATACTGATGCAAAAGAAAGCAAAATATACCAGTACAGCCAAAGGTTCTGAAGTTGCTAGAGCGCTACTTCCATCTGTATCAAGTATATCTCGGACGCCGCGACTATCACAAATATACACAATCACCCCTTTGTCCAACCTGGTCGAAAATAACTATTAGAACTTAAAGCTGGAAATAAGTTAATCAGGTAAAAGAAAATCTTTAGATAATACAGAAATAGTCTTTTCCATGGTTGATTATTGAAAGAATTTCACAACCCAGTTTAGTAATACAATATAATTTCAAATGTTATAAGGTGTTTCTGATAATATGGCTATAGAACATTTCTGATTTATAATAGATAAGAATATTGAAGATATTTTAAGCTACAAGGAAAAGCAACAGAAAAAGTAGAAAACCAAAGGCCAATCAGTTTTCATTGACCACCTCTTCAAGCATGAGTGCTAGCAAGTAACACAAATTAAATTACACTAAGGTAGACAGAGTAGAATCCATGAATGCTGTTCTTGATCTGTGTAAAAAATTTGCTCTTAGATCTTACAATCCTACTACTCAACCCACTGCTAAGCTTGACAGTGGAAACCAAAAAGTAACATTGGATTGAGACCTCTCAAGGGGAAAGGTAGAGGGAATAAAAAGCAATAACCAAACACAGACTCACAGTTGAAAGTCTCTTCATATGAGTGAGATCCACTTGTCCCTTTTGACCAGAGGCAAAGCTTTTGAGCCACCCTCAATGACTAATTTGAAATGCTCCTAGAGAGAGAGAGAGAGAGGAGTTTTGGTTTATTGATCAAATTGGTGAGCAAGAAAAGAGTGTGATACTGATACTGATTGGATGGGTCATTTGAGAGTGAGAGAAACAGCACCACCCAACCCAAGTAAAAATCATTGACAGTGACTGTTGATGCCCCTCAAAAATTAAGCAGTAGGACCCCCTTCTCAGTGTGTCTCTCTATCTTCTTCAAAACTCTTTCTCTCTCTACTATTGTTAAACCAACCCAACCCAGAAGGGCACCAACAGCAAGCAATGATTTTTAATACAGGACTCACTATGAAGAAACTTCTCCAATCGGTGTCTGGTTTTGGGCTTTTCGAAAAGGGGAGAAAGAGACGATTTGAGAGGTTTGCGTGAAGCGTTCACCACTTCCGATATCTTTCTTGTTTGCGTGTTTCTCGGGATGAATAACATATGAATCTAGGATTTTGATCGCAAATCAATTTCCAGTTCGTGTGTAGTATTTGATTAATCTATCTTTTTCAAACACTTGGCTACGTTATATGTCACTAATCAACGGCTCCATTCTTTGGTGTTTGTTTGTGGAATGTGATTTGTAAGCCAAACAGGGGAAGACATGAACCATACATGTGCAAGCAAGAAGAAAGGAACAACAGGACAGATTAGCCAAATGCCACTGTATCACAAAGCAGAATTTAAGAATATTGAAGTGGCCTTATTATAGATATGGAATAACTTTAATCATGTACCACAAAGCAGAATTTCAAATGCCACTGGCAAAATGTTATACACAATACAAGATGTAACATTGTCAATAGATGATAATCATACCAAATTTTGGCAATCTCAATTCCTTCTGGGAAAAGACCACCACTGCAACAAATTAAGTATCAGAAACCTAGTGGTTGAAAGTACATAATCGGAAATGTTCATTGCTGAATCACCTATTATCTCTAAGGTCCAAAACAAATGCATTAACATTATCACTCCTTAATGTATTGATTGCTTCTTTGATAGCACCTGCAAGGATAGCGCATCCACCACAAAGAAAGGGAAAAAGAAATGCAGAAACTTTTATCATCAACATAGAGAGCAAAGAACCAATTAACGTAATCACAAAAAGTATCAATATTTTCAAGAAAGTCATTAATCTAAATAAAAAAGTTAAGTATACATTTTTATATTTAGCAGTGCCTTTTAATAAGTTAAATGATTTATGTTATATCGAGTACATATGAAAACTGGAATATTAACCTAGTTTGAGTCAATGAAATGAATGTTATGTTTAAGGAAATAACATAGTCGAGAGATGAACCTCTTGATCAGGAAGAGTGTAAATTTTATAGAGAAAAAATAAATAATAAGCACAAATACGACATGGAGTACAAATATCATAAAACACAGACACAAAAATGGGGATACCCCAAATTTTAAAAAGTGTAGGACAATGCTGAAGTATATTACAAAGTGTCAAATTAATCTAAAATTAGCATAAAATTAAAATCTTAAATCAAAAAGAGAACTCATGTTTTTAAATGAAATGGTAAAATGTAACTAATTATTGTAGTATTTTAATTTATATTGGCAGTAAAGTTTAAAACTAAAGGTATTTTTTTTTTACAAAAATGCATCTATAAGAATTTGAAGTATCAATGTAGTGTTCCACGTGGATACATATTAAACACAACTATGACACATGACTACTATTTAAATGTGACATGCTTTTGGAATTGATACCGATTACCATCAAGAATTGACGAAAAAATTTAATTAAATTATTGATTAAACTCAAACATCATCATCCATCACATCTCAATCTATAATAGTTCAAAAAGCTTTTTGGTCTAAATCAATTTAAGATTCGTTAAGATTTTTAGAATTTGGGTTTGGCCTAACACCACCCCACAAAACTAGCTTGTAAGGACTTCACAAACTTTATAAGATTTTATTTATGTTATATTTCTCGTCAATGTGTGACTAAACACCATCCCATCACACTTCAAAATGAAGGTGCTCTAAAGAGGCCACAATTAAGAAAAATCATGCTTAACCCACCAATTACTACTTACTGGATGCCTTTTGGTTGAAAGTTGTTAGTTTGATATAACCAATTGTTGGGGAATCATTTCCTGAAGAAGGTAGCTTGCACAGTCTTGACTTCACTGGATTCAGTAAAACTTTCTCTCGCCTGATATGCAGAAACGCATGTTTTTAGTTTTTAATCAGGAATAATATAATAATTCTGGAAGAAAGAACAAACATTATTTAAGCCTACCAGGTACGATAACTACAACAAAAACAGCCAAATTTAGGCGGTTAACAATGGTAACTGTTAGAATAGTGGATTAAGCCTCTCAACCCTACAAAACCGGCTTGTAAGGTGAGGGTTGCTTTCCACTTATATACTATTCAATTGTCTAATCTCTAGTCGATGTGGGACTTGGGTTTTTTCCAATACACCCCCCTCACGTCCAGCACTATTGGGCTTGGTACGTAGATAAATGGTGGGTGACCCTTTTTAATAATCTAGGATAGGCGGGACTTGGGTTTTTCCCAATACACCCCCTCATGCCTATAAGACATGCATCAATGATGGGTGACCCATTTTTAAAGTGGATCTAAATGGCTCTGATACCATGTTAGAATAGTGGATTTAAGCCTAACTCAACCTTACAAAACCGGCTTGTAAGGTAAGGGTTGCTTTCCACTTATATACTATTCAATTGTCTAATCTCTAGTCGATGTGGGACTTGGGTTTTTTCCAATAGTAACAAAAAGACTTAACTATATAAATGTGGCTAAACATAGCATTATCAAACTACCAAGTTTTTTGAATCATTCCAAGAAACAAAATATACTCCCAAAGGCCTAAGCTTCAAATTTATTTCCATTTGGAAAGTAAACTAACTTACGTCAATGCTAGGTGTTTTATGTCCAAACCACTACGAATTGTCAAGGCTACAGAGCTTCCTTCAGGTCCCCTGCAATTAATTTTAAAAGGTCTGGTCAGGCAATCAAATATATAAGTTCAAGGCAACTAGTGAAAGTTCATTCTTTTAAATGGATAAGCCTCAAGCAACTAAAATCTTACCATTGACACTCATATTACAGTAACAATACCAAGACAGAGATATTAAATAAGAGACAAGCTTGTAAGACTTTAAGCAGATAGCAGATAAAGAAACAGAATCCAATACTACAATATTTATATCAATGCGGTACTACACTTCTTACTAGTTGGGAAAATTTCAAGAAGTAAATGCAATCCTATTCCTTGGTCTTTTGCACAATATTAACAATGTGTTCTTTAATATTTTTATTTTCTCCATTTGTGGAAGAAATGTTTATTTGAAAGCACAAGTTGAATGTAGGAGAAAACACCCACTGTAGGCGTTCAGCTGCATCATATAGCCCCATGTTTTCCGTGCTTGTATCATCAATCGCCAGGATAACATCTCCAGACAAAACACCAGCTCTATATGCAGGACCTCCGGGAGAAGCTGATATGACAACAAGTTCACCAGGTTGCATGTCAGTTTTAGTAGGGTAGCCTATTGATAACCCCACTCCAGTTAGGGCGCCTTGAGTTCCAGACTGCCTTCAACAAAAAAAATAGTTATTGGGATTAAAGTATAGGGAAACATATATTCTGCTAGATTGGACAAAAGGCATTATCTGATATGCAGCCAGGACAATGTGTAAAATAAATAAGTCAAGGGAAAACTTAGAATGAGAAAAAATTGTACCCTCAAACTTCTGAACTTTTCAGGCTCCAAAAATCTAGTGAACGGATCATCCAATGTGGCAAGCATTTTTCTTATTGCCATATCTGTGCGCAAATATGGCAACAACAGTTTAAGATAAACCGGCAAAGTTTTGACTACATGGATAATACAATCCAACTAAATTTAAGTTTAAGTTTATGTCAAAATCATGTATGACTTATCATAAAACAGTGTAGAACCTTCATTTATAGAAGATAGCAATCAACATTGGGATGGTTAAAAAAAAATAAAAAATAAACTCCCTCAATTATCTTTATCCATTGGGACAAGGTAGCCTGGTCAGTAAGTCATTTTAGTCATTATTCACTACAGTTTGATACTTCAAATTTAAAAGTATGAAGTTTAAATTTCTTACAATAAAAGCAATATTCATTCCATCAGAGTTATTCTCAGATTTTTTTGACATGCATATTGCATAACATAGATGAAATATAAGTGGTTTATCATAGTTCAAATGTACATGGCTTATCCTCTTATAGTTCTCAATATTCAATAGTATTAGTGATATTGCTTCTCATCATTGTGTCCAGAGAACCATTTATTGGAATCCATAGTCAAGCATTCTACCATCTTTCTGTTGGTTTGTGGAGACATGTGTACACGTTAGTGTTACAAACCTATTTTGAAGGCACCAATGAATACAGTTTACAGAATTTAGTAATGTGGGAATTACAACATTTGGGAGAAAACAGATAGACACATCATAGGTACACATTACCAGAGGAGAGAAAAACAGGAATCTGAACAAAGTTCTGGATGAATGTACTCAATAACCATGTTAAATGCAAGTTTTCTATGATAATTTGAATAGCCAGGGGCATAGCCAACACATCCCTCATTATGTTTTACTTAACAAACTGGGAAGCACTATCTATCTATAATTTTCACCATTTATAAAATATGATTGTCTTGAAATTCATCATAACAGAAATATAAATCTCTGAACATTTCATAGCAGAATAGAAAAGATTAAAGCTTGCTTATGTGCTGCAATCATATAAGGATTAATTACTCTATTACAGGTCCAGTTTAAATAAACTTATCCATAAGCACTTGTAAGAGGAAAAAAAAAATAGGGATGTAAACTGAATTAAATTTGTCCTATAAGTTTGTGGAGAAGTTAATGAGAGTGTTTCTAAAAAAAGTAATACACACAAGTTAATTTCAACTTATTAGAGAACTTTGATTTATTAAATTTTCTTATTTTCTTCTCTTATAAATGTTTAGTGGTAAGTTTATCCAAACTGACCCTAATCAAATTGGATCTACTTATCTTCACAACCCAAAATCTAGAAAAAGATTGTGATAATCATGAAGCTATCTGAACCAAAACTAATTCAGAGCAGTTTGCTTTAAGAGTTGGAGGTTAAATCATCAAATATCAAGTGCTAGCATTCGGAATAACATCATGTGGTATTTCTGGATAAATATAGTTTCTTTCAGCTTTTAACATATTTTCCATCAAATTTTCATTCTCAGCTAAAAATTTGTCCAAGTTCAATTCAACCTTTTTACTTTTTATCAATTAGGCATAAAGCTATTCAATGAAGAAACAATAATTTGATTCCACTCCTCAAAAGCTAAAAGACTAGCACGACCGATATGTTGACAACATAGACAATTTACCCTCTTAGCATGTTGTCTTTGTGCAGCAAGTTGAAAAAGAAACAATAATAAAAGGTTGAGAATTAAAGCTATACATGTCTCTTCTCGATTGTTCATTGGTTCATTGCGGAGTGCATCTTCCCTATACCTAAACCAACTCTGTCCATTAAAACTTTTATCAATGTATGCCCGATCAATTGTTCTCCATGCCTCCAGAAAGAGGAGATTCTCCTCAGACAGGGCCCCTAGAAGGAAAAAAAATTAAAAGACAAGATTAAGAGAAAATTTGTTTGAATAAGCTTATCTCAATGCGAGAGAGAAATAAGAAAAATTGAAATAAACATAAGTTGAAATTAGCTTATGTATGAGTTAATAAGATTATGTTAATACGAGAGAGTTTTTACAAATTAACTATGCACAAACTAATTTTAGCTTATGGAAGAACACATTTAATTTTTCTTTTTTAAAAGTGTTTATGAAAAACAAGCCGTGCATTATAAAAATTCTAACAAATTCACTATTCAGCTACATTTTGAAGTTTAACTATAGCTGTATAGATTTTACATATCAAAATCACTCACAAGATGGTTCACTAGAGGCCAAAGAAACAGACATGACCAACATCACTCCAGTAACCAGCCGCACAAACAGCACAGAAGCATGTTGTCTTATGTTTTCTGAACAATCCTTAAGTCTTAGAAGACTGTTACATTTCCTCCTTTTGGCAATGAAACCCCAACTTGATGGAAAATAGCCACACTGAGGATAGCATATGCTGCTTATCCGTGACACCACCCCATTTGAAAATTCTTTTCCATAACCCCTATTTCTAGAACCAACACCTTTCTTCCTTCCATGTGCCAATGGAAACCGAGATTCTATTACCCTTAACGAAAAACACTTCCATTGTGACACCTGCAAATTGTACAGAACACAATTGACTGAATACTCATCACTCAAATCAAAATATTCATGCCCTTCTCATTGATCATCTGTCACTAAATTGGCCTATTACAAAGATAAACAAATAAAGGGCAGCGTTCAAAAATCCATTTTTTTTTCTTGGGAACCAAACAGAAGGTGAGGATGAAACGGGAAAATGGATTAGAAGAAGTGGTGAAAGTGATGGGAATATAAAGGAACAACCTTTGGAGTGGAAATGGTATGAAAAGGGGCATTGAGAGTGCAACGAAGAGAAAAAGAAGAATTCACAGAGCTTGCAGCGACCTCCATGGAAGCCAGAAAGAAGGGTGACCCACCTCCGCCTCAACCCTTCACTTTTTTTCCTTTACATTATCGTTCATTTTCAAATAAAATTTAAATAACATTAAGAAAAAATTCTTATTTCTTCTCACTGTTTTCCGTTTTGTGTCGAAGAATCGTAGATATAAATATAATAAAAAAAATTGTAATAAATTTTCTTATTTAGTCACATCCAGCTATTTAATTATCATTTTCACAAATTATTTTTAGTTTAAAATATGGTTGTATAATTGTTTTGAATATTTTAAAAAATATTACTCGCAATAATTTTTTTTATTTTTTTATCGATTTAGAGCAAATTTTATTCTATAAAAGTAACATGAAGTTTATACTGAAAAAAAAAACAACTCTTTAAAGAATATTGATCATTCATGTCCGAAGCAACATTTTGAATTGCTTACCTTTATTCATTAAAGTATATAATAAAATATAGTAATTTTAAAAATAAGTATCACACAATTATTATGTTTATTTCATCCTTGTATTTCACAATAACTGTACAATTTTGTTAACTTCAATCTTTTTAAGACCGATTAAAATAAATAAATTAAAATGACCAAGTAAAATTAATCCTTTAACTTTTTTTAGTAGGGATTTTTTAATTTTGATTTTTTTTAACTTGATCTATCTCTTTTTTCTAGGTTGATTGTGATTTTTTTTTTCAATTGTGATAACTTTTATTGATTGTGACTATTTTTTACCATGAATAATAAACAATAACTTATAATACAGTCAAACAACAACAATAGGATAAAAAATTAAAGTATAAAAAAAAATACAAAACCAAGTAGAAAAGAAAAAGAGAAGAGATTAAAGTATTAACTTTGTTAAAACAGTTATTAAGCTTTATATTATTAATATACTACTTTAAGTCTTTTTTATAAGAAAATTTTAAGAAGTTTGTGTTGATTTCTTTTATAAGATTCCATCTAAATTGTTTAGTGTGTTAATTTACTTCTCTTACGAAAATATCTTTAAATAGACATGTATTAATTAATTAAATAAAAAAATAAGAAAAAACTTAATAGTTTTAAGTAATCATCAACTAATATATAAATTGTTTACATTAGTAACTAAATTAACTTAAAACTTGAATTTTTGTAAAGCAATTGAAAGAGTCCTATACATCATATTAGCGTTATATATCTATCATATAAAGGAACGTAGAAAATAATATTATATTATCAATAGACATATATTCATATGTATTTTAATTCCTAATTATAATGTATACAAAACAACAAATAATAAAGTTAAAAATACTTGAATATTCAAAAAAAAAAAATTGATCCATTGAGTGTTGGTCTATGAGACAAACTATCCAGATTCCACAATGTGCAATTTTTGTAAAAATAATATTAATATTAATTTCAATATTAATATAATGATCATGGAATTGGAACTAACAATACTAATATGTCTTAATATTTTAATATTTAATTCATTTAAATTTTGTAAAAAATAATAATATTAATTATAATTATCTAAATAATCTAACAATCTTAAATTTTAGGGCTAGCTATCCTACTCTTTGAAGTGCCTTCAACGTAACGAGGAGATTAGTCACTGCTATCGGCAGTGAATACTTCAAGAACGAAAAAAAAAAATCTAACAATAAAGAATAGTAATATCATTGTTATTTTAACATCATTTATTAATTTTATTTTAGTAAATTCTTGAATTGAAATTTCATAAACAAAAATAATAACTATTAGGAGGTTTTTTTTTTAATTTTTATTTTTAACTTCTTTCTTTTTGTAGAAAGAAGTTTATATATATTCAAATTGTCAGGAAATAATTAAATTTTAGTGTGATTTTTATACCAAATTTTCAAGACCAAAAAATAACGAGGTTGCCCAAATATAGATTCTATAAGAAGTGATTTAGGAAATATGAGCATGATTTATATAATAGGCAAAACATCACATATTTACATGATGAATCTTGCTATATAGATACGATCATGGAAACTTTAATGGTTGAATAACAAGTTGGAAAATAAATAAATAAAAATCAGGGTATGAGTATGACTCTTGTAAAACATAGTTTATCGATGAAATATTATACTACGTGTTCTTTTAACTACATTAAAATCCATTTTAATTTTAGCTTTTAAGTTATGATTGATCGGTGGAAAAAAATGACTTGGAGAAAAATTAAACATAATAGTACTATCTATACCATTAATAAATGACATTGTTCCATTTACTGTTCAATTTTTTTTTAATAATTTTATCTTCATAACTACTTTTTACAAATTACAATTTTTTATAATTTTTTTTTATAAAAAAATTACTATATAACTGTATGTACTTTTAATAATCATTTATCATTATATAATTTTTTATCATTTATTTAAAAAAAAAATAATTCACGAAAGCACTGTTATTTTATAATTTGAATCAGTAAAATGTAAAATATAGTGAAAATTCATAGAACATATTTCATCATATCATATTATTTTCCCTCGGTGTTAAGGAGGAACGAAATAGAATAAATTTTTGTTTAATTCCATTAGAATTAGAAATGACTAATTTTGTTTAATTTCTTGGGAGTTGTTATGGTACTCATGAAAATTGAAGGATTTTGATACATTAAATTATGTGAACAAATAAATTTTAAAAAATAAATTTAAAATAACATAAATTTTAGATTAAAAATTTATATAAGATAATTTAATAAAAAGACTAATTAAAAAAAATAATCAAAAAATCAATTTTTATAACAAATTTTATTTATATGTGACAAAATTAAAAAATTAAAAACAAAAAATTATAATAATATTATAAAAATATTAAAATAGAAAAAATAAATAATACAACTAAAAAACTAATTTATACTATAAATTCAAAAAAATTATCACCAAAGAAAAACTAAAACATATTTAAAAAATATTAATATTAAACTTTTTAATTATAATAGATGCTACATTAAAATATAAATTAAAAAATATAAAAATAATAAAAAAATATAGAAAATTTTATAAGAAAAATTATTAAAAATATTAAATTAAAAAAAAATAAAACAAGTAATTACAATAAAAAAATTAAAAATTAAATAACTATTCTAGTATCCCACAATTATAGTAGATACAATAGAATTTCTCTAATTTCTTTACCTCACCATCTTGCTAGTGCACCTTTCTTTTATGGTGTGGCAAATGAAAGCCCAATAAACTTTTGCTAAGAAGTACCTCTATTAATTAAAAAGTTAATATGTTAACTTTTTTCATTAAAAACAATATTAAAATGCGTAATCATATTTTTCAATAGAAAAAAATATACTTTAACTTTTTGAACACCAAATAACATTTTCTTTATATTTCTTAAGAGTGTGATTGAAAAAATCGTAAAAATTAGATTAATAATCGATTATAATTAGAATGATATTTTTTTTTGGATAAATTGACTAAAAAATTAATTATAAAATGCCTAATTTTGCTTGAATATAACAAAAAGTCAAATTTTATAAAATAAATCAATTTCAAAAGAAAAAAACCATTGAAAATAATCATAAATATAAAAATTTCATATTCTTGCAAGCAACTTTTTTTTTAATAAAATATTTACATATTTGATCTATTGTTTCAAACATAAAGATTTTCTTTAATAAAACATCTAAAATTATGAGAAATCATCTCATTTATATGCACTTAAATGTAGTGACAGAACGTAGATAAAAAAAATTGGGGTGCTAAATTAATTTTTTTAATAATTAATAATATAATAATATACAAATAATATATAGATATATATATAAAGAGTTTTGAGAGAATCGTGACTCATCTATCATAATCAATGACGGATCTTGATTAAAAACCTATCTTGATAATTTACTCCCCCTTTTTTTCTCTATTTCTTTTCACTGTCTTTCTAAATCAAATAAATATAGTATACGCTACATCTGAAGTTGATAACACATTATCCAAGTTCCAACTTCGTACATTTTAATGTTTCGATTGTCGGGAACAACCAATAAGGTAGCACGTGAAGAATAGATTTCGAATCACCTTGGTACAAAATGATTTTTTTTTTGCACAGTATCCACACGTGTTTGTTAGGTACAAAAACATTGCCCAGGACAAGATAAATTCGTGGTGGATATAATTTATTCTAAAAATATCTCTTCAAACCTTACACCTCAAATTCTGTAAATGCACTATTAAAACATCGTACAAAATACAGAAATCAGTTAATTAAGGGCACTTTACTCTTTAATTATGGATTATTTTGTGTTAGAGATAATGTACAAAAAAAAAATACAGAAATAAAATAAAATTTGAACATTAATTTAAGAGCTAAGGAGTAAAAAGCTTAAGATACTTGTGGTATAGTGTAGTGTAGTGTTGGGGTATAAGAAGAGGTGAGAACGAAAAATGCGGTGCGCGAGGCATAACAAGATCGGGGATGCCATTGCTCATATCCAGTTCCGCAAAGGCATTTTTCCTCTCCGCGTTCCCACACTCGAAGCGAATGTCGAATTCCGGCGTCAAAACGCGCCTCAGAGGTGTCGTTTTCGACATGGACGGCACTCTCACCGTTCCGGTCATCGATTTTCCGGCGATGTACAGGGCGGTGCTCGGCGACGAGGAGTACCGCAGAATCAAAGCGGAAAACCCTTCCGGCGTCGACATTTTGGGGGAAATCGAAGCGTGGCCTCCTCATGAACAACGCAAGGCCTACGACACCATCGCCGAGTACGAGCGTCAGGGTCTCGACCGCCTCCAAATCATGCCTGGTTCGCACTCGTTACTTTTTTTTTTTTTTTTTTTTGGTTCTTACTCGTTGTGCAACTGCAGGTGCTACCGAGCTATGTGCCGTTCTCGATTCCAAGAAAATAAGGTCCAGTTAAGCACACTTTCTTCCTCGCGTGTTCTTCTCTGCGTTTTGCGTAATTGAGATTCAATAAAGTGTTATGTTAGACATTTAAACTATTAGCGAAGCATGATAGTCGCACACGTGGACCTACAGGTTGATTAATTTGGATAAAGTACCGTAAGTGCTTTACTCCAATTAGAATTGGAGTTTTGACGAGTGATATGCGGAATAAAAGATTTCTTTCTTTCGTTAATTGTTAGTGTATCATAGATGTAAACCTGATAGGAGAACAATGTGCTTTTATTTATCTAATCCTTGTTTATATGTCTTTGACTCTGTGCAACGACTAGTCAAACTAGTTGTTCATTTGTTTTTTTTTTTTACCACAGATACATATATGTTATGTCTCGAGCTAAAAAGATTTTACGGTGTGGAGTTTATTTTGTGATGATGGTATTTGTTAACTAGCTATGGTGGCGTTTGTTTGAAGTTGGTGTTGTCGTTGTTGTACCAGCAATGTTGACGTTATGATCTTGATAGTTGTGAAATGTGAATTAATTACTCATACTTTTTTTTAGGAGGGGTTTGATCACTCGGAACATGAAGTCAGCTGTTGATTTATTCCATGAACGGTTTGGGGTGAGTTTGTCAACAGATGCAACTGTGTGTGTATATATATATATATATATATATTCTTTTTTATCTTTCTGGGAGAATTGGATTGAATTGATATGGGAAATTGTGTATGAAATTTAGGTTATCCACTTTTCTCCTATTTGAACTTTGTCTTTGACTTTGCTATGGTATTATGCTAATATCACTAGAAGAGCGCCACCGGGATTTTACACTGCAGCTTTCTTTTGTCTATAGGTATGAGATACATCAGTATGTGAAAATGAAAAAAAGTTATACAGTTGTTTGATGCTCGGATAAAATGCTACTTTGTAATGCTACGTTTCCGTTGTTGTCAAAAGGGTTGTTGTAATCTTATAAATATGGTTTGCAGAAAATAGCCTTCTTTCTTAAACATGCTTTCTTGGGGTGCATTTGTCATAAGTCACAATTATTGGTTGTAACTTGAAGTTTGGGAGTTTAATAAAAAGATTAAACCACTGTGGGTTAACTCTGCCATTCTGTTTAATCCTCTTTCCAAGTTCGAACAAAAATAAACGAACAAAGAAAATGCACAGTTTTCTAATTCTAAGAGGCATAATATGTAGAACTGCACAATCCTTTTTCTATTCTTTGTCTTATTTTTTATATTCAATGGCTTATAGTTATAGCATAGTGAAGGAATTCTTTCTAACTCTTAAAGTGTTAAACTTGTTCATTATATATTATACCTCATTGCTGCAGATTACATTTTCTCCGGCATTAAGCAGGGAATTTCGTCCTTATAAACCCGACCCAGCTCCTCTACTGCATATTTGTTCTCTTTGGGAAGTTCAACCGAATGAAGTAATAATGATTGGGGATAGCCTTAAAGATGATGTAAGTGATTTTTTTCCTTGATAATGTGAGTATTCATGATAAATGACTACTGGCACACTTTTCATTGTAGCTGTGCAATTTCAAGTGCATGGATTCTTATTATCGTCATTATTTGGAAATAATGCTTATAGATCTTCTAGGTTTCTCTTTCCACATTTGGTTACAAATAAGTAATAGCAACAATTGCAAAATCAAAGGCAGAATGGTAAATATTGTCATAAAAAAATCATGAAAGCATAGAAAATTAAGAAGAAATTTCAAATCTTTCAGAGTTGGTTCTGCAACGCTGACTAGTGAACTTTCTAGTAAAAAAAATCATCATCATCTACAAAGCAGAGTGTGATTGCTTACAATAAATAAATTCTGCGACATAGGCTGTTATTTATTCTGGATTTCATTTTGCTATGCGTAGTGATATTTGGATTTTCACATTACTTTTTATGTCAGATTTATGCCACTTTAAATACCTGCATTTGATCCGTCATAGAATAAGGAGTGTGCAGCATTAATAAGTTGCCTGCAAGGGGAGTAAGCCCTGTATAACAGAAAATGACAAGTGATGTGCTTTTAACATTCCTTTAACTATAGTGAGAGACCAAAAGAGTTTCGTATGATGTACACCACAATAGGGTCATATGATGTTAATTTACCCGTTTTCATGATCCCCCAAAATTAAGATAAAAAGAGGAACCTTGTATTCCCTGTCAAATTTAATAGTGACAATCTGTGTATCAGTATGAGAAGCAACTAAGCAAGTTAATGTTGGTTTTGTGATAAGTGTGCCAAATTTAACTGTGAGCAGATATTTTTAAAGTGGCTTGTTGTTTCCGACAAAGCTGCAAACCAATTCCTTTCCATTTTATGCTCCGCTTCCCTAGTATATTTATCGTACCTGAATATATTTTAAATTGGATGGTAATTGATTTATGCTGCATTGCTTGTTTGACCTTTTTACAGGTGGCTTGTGGAAGGCAAGCAGGAGCCTTTACATGTTTGCTTGATCAAAAAGGAATATATGATTCTCCCGAGTATGCTGATGTTGAATTCAAACCACATTTCAAAGTGACTTCCCTCGCCGAAGTTAACTCAGTTCTCGAGGTAAATTTTAATTTGTTGCCATGACGTCAAGGATTGTTCGCATGAACCATTTATTTTGTGGTTTATGCCAAGAGATCTGGAGGTGACATATATTTTAGGGTAGTTTTATTTCTTACCTCTTGCAAGGAAACAAAATATCATTGAAAATTTTAGGTTTGAGGATTTAATAGGTGGCATTTTAATAATAATGTTGTAACTTGTAGTTATTTTCATTGTCTTGTATGAGCGTGAATTCCGTCCATAAATATTGTTCTTGAAATTAATGTCAGTAACAAGATACACTGGATTTTGCCGTACATGTTGTTGCCTCTCTTTCTTGGACTTGCGAGTTCTGTTAGATGTTACTTCAGTTTCTTGGACTTGTGGGTTTTGGCACGATTTTATGTCTGGTCAGGTTTTGTGCATATTAAGACTTCTCAGACACAGTCCAGTTACAAGTATATATTTGTGAGGGAAACTCAAGTCTTACATCACATTTAAATTTGTGCACTTAAGTTTTGTGTTATTAGTTTTTATGTGTAAATATAGATACAAAAAACTCATTTATTTTGTTAAGTTGACCTTTTACGGAGGAAACATTTTTTTCTTATATATATTTTTTAATCAAAAAAGTCCCAACAAATTAAGAAAATTGTCTTATGATTATTAGCTTTGTGTCAAGTCGATGATGATGGTCCTAAGTCCCAACAAATCGTTCATTTATTATATTTTGCACTGCATGTTACTTTTTTGGTGGCAACCCAAGTGCTCTTCACTAAGAAATCGAATTATACTATCCATCAAACATGGCGGGTAACATTTATGACAACGATTTGTTGCAAACATTGCACCCAAGTATAGGGGTGTTTATGGGTTGTTTTTGTGAAAAATTTAAATCAAATTGATTCATTTTGTAAAGGTGAATTGGTTAAGTAATCCATTTTTTATAAAGTAAATTAATTTGATTTTTTTAAAATAAGAATTGGATTTTTTAAAATTAAATTTATTTGGCACAGTTATTTATCTTATATTTATATATAAATAGTTTTGTAAAAATATCAAATCAAATCGATTAATTTTGTAAAAATAAATTAGGTATCTGAATTAATTTTGTAAAATAGATTGGTTAAGATTTTTTTTTTCTTTTCAAAATGGATCAAATTTTTTAATATGAATTGATTTGAAGTTTTTGTACAATTTATCCGCATTATTTGCAAGTATGGAGATTCCTAATGTGGAATATCCTAATTTATTGAGCTAAGAGATAGAACAAAAGGATAGATAGCTTATATTGGTTAATGTCTACCTTATGAAGTTGATAAATGTTAAAAAGTATTTTTCTACCGGTTTTATTTCATATTTGGGTCTTCTATGCCATGAGATTTTGATGAAGTTTTACATTGACTATCAATTACTAACCCAACCCTCCTTTATTTTTGTGCTATTGAAACCGTTTGTATGTAATGCAACATAGACAAAGTAATTTGGAATGTATCTTCTACTATTAGAGTAAAAATTAGTAAACTATCGACTAAAATTCATTAAAAATTATAAAATTATGAAAGATAGTCAATTAGATAAGATGTGAAACTTATAAAATTATGATTTTCAATAAATTTCATCAAACAATAGTGTTGGTAACGATTCTTAAAACAAAAGAGACCAAAGTTGACGAAGCAGTAGTGCTCCAGCGGATATACAATTGTATATCCTATGACTATAATTTATTCCTCCTAAACCACCATTCCATCCTGTACTTGTTTGAAAAGAATTATCTTTCACCCCGATAATTATGGCAAACTATCCAAGAAAGAATTCAAGCTAGCAAGTAGCAATCCTTGAAAGCAAAAGAATTTGAAATTGATGATTCATCATTTGTATTCGATGGCGGCATGAATTGTCGAATCAACTCTTCTAGTGCTAATGCTATTACATTTGAAATGGAGATCTTCACTGTAAGGTTGTAAATCGGAATGTGAGCTCCATGCAGATCCCTATTATCCCATTCTTGTGGGTACTGGGAAGCTAGCTTTATATGCTTTTGATACCCATGAAGTAATGAGGCTTGATTTGGATGAAATGGTTTAAATAATATTTTGGTCCCTGTAGATTTCCCCCCTTTTCTTTTTAGGGTATGGGTTCCTATAGTTTCCTATAATTAGAGATTTTCCCCCTCTCCATTTCTTCTTCATGATGCTAGGCTACATGTGAACCTCCAAGCATCTCATCTACACAGTGATTAGTTGCTCATTGTCACAGGGAGACGGGGATTGCACTCACCATGTTCAAACCTCAAAGACACTAATGCCTCCATTAAGTTAACCATATTTACTAAAAACAACCAATAAGCTGGGACTTTTCTACCATTTTTCACATTCAAATAATGAACAGCATATCTACTTTTGAGCCTCGAACGATGGCGAAACAAATGGCTTCAAAGTTAGCTGAGTTACATGGCAGGCCAGTTTTCACTTCAAGATTTTGAACACATCAGTACCAGGAGATTTAGGTCAGGATATCAATATCTCCACAACCGTCTGTCATTATTGATACAAGGTCATCAAGCATTTCGTAGATTAAACTAGACGAAGGATGTGCTTTGTCAGCAACAGAAAAAGAATGAGTCTTGCCACTAATAGTTATCCAACTGCAACCTGGAACTTTTCTTAAACCTCTTTCTTTCATCATTGTTCTCACCTCAGTCACGACATCCCATCTTCTATCGGAAGCATATGTATTTGAAAGTGAGATATAATTTGAAGGGTTTTCAGGTTCCAGTTCTAAGAGATGCCTATAAGCCAGGTCTCTAGTCCTTGAATTCCCATGCATTACTGAGGCAGTTAAAAGTGATCCCCAAACACTTGGACCAGGATCTAAAGGCATTTCTTTGATGAATTCCAAGGCTTGATCAAGCTGGCCTGATCGACTTAACATATCAACAACACAAGCACAAATTTCAACAGTTGGTTTTATTTCATATTCAGTCATCAGTGACTTATATATACTAATGCCTTCATCTACCAATCCCGACTTGCTACAAGCAGAAAGAACACCCACCACTGTTATCATGTCTGGTTTGAACCCATGCTGAAGCATTTGGTAATACGTAATTACAGCCTCCTCTCCTTTCCCATGTAATCCATATGCAGAGATCATTGAACTCCAAGTGACAGCATCTTTGAAGTAAGAACCAGTTTCAAAGGCTCGTCTTGCATAATCCAAACTCCCACATTTTGAATACATGTCAATTAAAGCATTGCATAGGGAAACATCACCATTTAACTCCATTTTAATAGAAAACCCATGTACTTGTTTCCCTCCTATTAATCCAGCAAGCAAGCCACAAGCTGGAAGCACACTAACAAGTGATACCTTATTGGGACGTATACCATCCTTCATTTGCATCTCACGGAGGAGAACCAATGCATCCTCAGGTGCTCCATTCTGTACATAACCGTTGATCATGGCCGTCCAAACATATACATTTCTGTTTTCCATTTGGTCAAACACCCTCCTCCCAATAACAACTTTCTTACTCCTGCAATACATATCAATCAAAGAAGACCCCATATGCACATCTGAACCCATCTTCAAATCCAACCCATTCTTCACAACATAACAGTGAAGCTCCCTCCCATAACCCCACTTCCCCGTATCGCCACAACACAAAGGCAACAAACTCGCAACTGTAAAAGCATCAGCCTTAAACCCCTCACACTGCATTCTCACAAAAAAGTTCCATAAATCATCACGGGAAACAGAAACACAATTCCCCAAGGCGGCACATCCAGAAATTACAACATTGAACGAACCCACATTCCTCTGAGGCATTTCGTCGAACACCTTCACTGCATCATCAAACTCCCCACACCGGCAATACATTGCCATCAGAGAATTGGCAACAACAACATCCGACACAAACCCAATCCTTATACCCTTCCCATGAATCAATTTCCCGGAAGCCAAGTCCTTGAGTTCCCCAGAAAGTTTGAAAATCGTTGCCATAGTGTAATCATCAGGCAACACACCATCGCGACCCATTTCACGGGACAAAGCAAGGGCTTGGCGAAAGTCGTGATTTTTAACGTACCCATTAATGAGTGAGTTCCAGAGGTAGACGTTTTTGGACTCGACGGAGTCAAAGACGAACCTTGACAGGGTTAAGTGGCCACACGTGGCGTAAGCAGAGACGAGCCTGGTGGCGAGGAAAGGGTTGTGCGCGAAGCCATTGACGAGGATTTGAGCGTGAGATTGTTGGGCGAGTTTTTGAGATCGAAAGTCGATGGAGAGTTGAAGGAGATGAAGGAGGGAGAGAGTGGCAGAAGTGTAATAAGGAGAGGTTGTGAGGGTAAATGGAAATGTCCTTCTCAGAATCATAAGAGCCAGAAGAAGTTGCCTTGAGTTTGAACTTGGTTTAAGGGATTACGGGTTGTGGAAATTGGAACTGGAAAAAGATAGTATACATCTTCTCAGTTTCTTGTTTCCTTCAGTTTCTTTCCTAAACAAATTTCTTGTATCTTTTAACAGAATCTTTTTGTATACTATGATTTTCATCTTCAATTATATTTTTCTTCTTTATAGTTACTTCTTCGTATTTTTCCCTAGTCAATTATAAGTAGATTTAATTAATTTGTAAATTATTTAATATTGTTCATTTCATTTCAATTAAAATAATTTATTTTTCTATTATCTTTTTAATAAATTTGATATTAAATTTTTTAAAAATAATCATTAGAAATATAATTTCTATCTAAATAAAAAATATTTTAAAGATAACAATAAATATGATAAAATTAGTCAAAATTTATTTATATTAAAGTCTATGTATCATTTATGATATTTTTTCTCTCTTATATTTGAGTCTTACATAGTATTCGATAATTTATACTATTCATAAAATTGTATGAAGTTAATTAGAATCTCTAAATAATATTTTTTTTACACTATCATTCAATTTCAAATCATAATAAATAATAAATTTATTAAAATAATTTTTAATTAATTAAAAATGTTAAAATCTTTACCCTTACAATAAATGTTAATTTAACTCAGATTATATTGTTTAGATTTGAAAAATATATAAAAAATTATAAATTATAAATTTAATGGCTTAATTTATCAACAAAATATTTTATAAGTAAAAGTTTTTTTATCAACATTATTAACCTAAACTATAAAAAAATTAATAAATAAAATATTTATATATGAATTAAAAGGTATTATATCAACTATCAGGATTAACCTAATATTAAAAATAAAAAAAATATATGGTATATGATATAAAGATTATCCTTTTCAATCTTTAAAATTACGATTAACATAAGAACTAATCAAAATATAATTATACAAAAAAAATTGAAAAATTATAAAAATAATAACATTTAGAATGAAATAGTTAATTGTACATTTTTATCAAAATTTGTGTATTGAGTTATTTTGGTGTTTATTGTTGAGAGGACTATGAAAATTAAGGAATTCTTGAAAGTTTAGATGGTTTTGAGTTCTTTGACTAAAGGTCCAATAGGTTTTAAGAGAGGAAGAGATATAAAGTTTCTTCTAAGAATTAAGCCTCAAACTCATTTTCTTCGAAATCTTAGAGAGAGAGAGTAGAGTGAGTCGCTCTGAAAACAGGATGTGACTTTTCTTTCTTCTAATTTTCATAGCAAATCTTTGAATCCTTCCCCTAGTGATCTTGAGTGTTATGTTGGTGATTTGAAGCCCGTGGAGTTGAGAATTGGAGTTGGTGCAGAGCTTCAATAGTAACTTAGAGTTCCCTTTTCTTCCCTCATCCTCTTCTGCTTGATTTGGGGATCTTCATAGGTAAGGGAAGTTAGAACTCATGTTTATGTTGCTCTAGGATGAATATATTGGTTGGAATTCATTTGAAATTCATGGTTGTTTAAATGATTGAGATGGAGTTGCATGTGGTGGAGTTGTTAGGTTTTTGAGCATGTTGAATGATTTTAGTGAAAGTGGATGATCTTTGGTTGCATGTTGATATTTTGGTGAGTTTTGAGATGAATATGATGTATAGATACATTCTATTGTATTGCATGCTTGTGATTCTCTATTTTTTAGGTGATGGTGAGTCAATTCATGAGTTTGTGTAGAATTCACCGTCGCATTGGACGTGCCTTCTAGGCGTTGAACGTGGCTTCAACTAGGGGGCCTTTATCTAGATCCCATCGGATGTAGGATTGGTGGAGTTGAGCATGAGTAGAGAGAATCATCTCAAGTTAAAATCACGCCAAGTGAGGTTTGAATGATATTAGCAGTGAGGTAAGAGAATTGTATCAGCTTGGATTGGCGCTGAGTGCCAAAGGAGCAATGTTGTTTTTGAAAGTTGAATATCTCATTGTGAGGATATTGGTATGACACTTTAAAAGGGTAATTGTTGAAACAAAAAAATCTTCCTTGAGTAAGTGTTAAACTCTTGGAGTGGATTAGTGAATCTCCTCTAAATCCTTAGTCAATATTGAAGTAAGATATGAAGTCAAGAGCTACAACCCTTAACTGATTAATAGAGAGTTGTCTGGTATCATGAGGATAGTTGGGTTGTAATCTATAGGGGACTTGGTTAATGCATGTTAATGTTGTGGTAAGCCCACACCCAAACTATGTTATACTTAATGGTAGTACTAGACTTTCTTAATTTAAGTAACGACATCCAAAAAATCATGTGTAAGGATTGATATTCCAATTTAGTTATCAATCTAGCAAACATGTAAGGCATGAAAATGATCAGTTGGTTATGTAAGGTTAAGCCACTTAAACTACTCATATTGGTGTAGGAGATATTTGAAGGTGAATATATGACAATGCATTAGTTAAGGTGTATACATGTAATATGGTGTTGTTTAGTATTGTTCATTTGCTTGGTTGAAAATGTTGTTGAATGACATTGATGTGATAAAATATAAAAGTTCATATGTATTTGGGTTACTTACTTTGTAAAGTTGTTGAATGCCATGACGAGTTGATTATTATGTTGATGTTGGTAGTATAGTTGTCATACTATTATACTTGTTAATTTTTTTGCAATCTAGCTTACCCTTATATATATTTCTGGTGATTGAACTGTGATAATCATGATTTTCATAAGAATAAAACAGGTTAGCTAGAGGTAGGATGTGACGTTGTGTAACCATGCTAGTAGTTGATTGTTGCAGTGTAATTTGATTAATTTGATATAACTAATTATATAATTGTTGCTTGACTAGCAACATAAATTCATAATTTTTTGATTATTGTATAGTCATGTAAATTATTTATTCAATTATGTACCTCTACGTATATATATGGTCTCTTACATGTCTAGGAACTATTCTGTGATAACACCAAGTAGTTTCTAATTGATTTTCCGTGACTAATTGTCAATTCCATTACCATCATAAATCATTATAGTAAAAATAAAAAATAATTAAAGTATAATATTAAAGTTAAATTAATACACAGTACATGCCTACACCTAACCCCACCACTAATACATCTTATTAATCTAATCGTTAAATATTAATTTTAATATTAACTTAATGACCATACGCGTCCAATTTTAAATAAATAAAATATTTGTAGTTATATAATTTTATCCGCAATATTATTTATATTTTTAAAGCATAGTATATATTAATTTTATTATAAATTTATAAAAATTTCAACATATAAGTTGATGAATAATATTTATTTTTCTAACGTGAAAAAAAAAGTTCACTAGATATCTTCTCTCAATCCATGAAAAATCATTAGATAGTTTAAATAAATAACAAGTTACATGTATATAATTTTTTAATTTAAAAAATCAATTAATTACATTTACTAAGGTTCATGTAAACCACCTAATGATTTTTTCCTTCACCTCTCTCTATATATATGCATTCAGTTACTTTGACAGCGTGTATATATATATAGAAAGTTGCGAGGTATATATTTTAGGTTCGTGTGAGTGGATCTGATGCATCAATGTTCTTTTTAACTAGAAAAAACTGATATTATTATGCTATTCTAATGTTTTTAATGGGTACAGGTTTTGAGAATAATAAGTTGTATAATATTTATTCCTTGTTAAATTTATGATAATTATTTGAAACTTCGTTAAGTAATTTTATTTTATAAATTATCGTTACACACTTAAAAAAGGAATAGAAAAAAGTTATCTGGTTGAATGTAGTTTACCTATATCGCTTAGGTAGATATAAAAACAAAATTGCTTTATATTTTTAAACTAATTAATTTTTATTACCTCTTAAAATTTGTACAAAAAATGTTCTAAAATATTATTCTCAAACGTAAATTAGTCACTTTAGTGTTAATTCTTTCACAGTCATTTTTTAATATCAAATTTTTTTTTTATTATATATTCTTCAACATCAATATAATCATTCTGAATCGTACAAATATATATTAAAAAAGTGCCACGATTCCGTGTAGGATCTCTCCCTCTGTAATTCTAGATTCTGAGATACTTGCAGAATGTCAAAACAGGTGATACTTTTACATACATGTTTATTGTTTAGGGTATAATCAACACGTTAAAAGATCATTTGTGTAATAAATAAAGATACTGCGTAAGATATGTGAGATTTAAAGAATCCAATTCTATCTTAGTTTAAGTCTAATCCCAAATTTATTCATTCTAAAGAAATGAACAAATAAGATGGAATTCGTATTATGTGTTGCTTAAATAGACGAAAACAATAAGATGAGAAAAGATGTCATGATGAAACTCCATGTCGAGTTGTACCAATACCAAGAGTGTCTCTCGTTATGCTTAAAATGAGATTTCTTAAGCCAACAAGTGTAAATTCAGCACCCAAATAAATAATAATGTTCTTGGTGCATAAATGTAAATGAAAAAGTCTTATGTCAAGTAACATAAATAAGAAAGATTTATAAATATGATGTCTTAAAATTAAAAATTAAAATGTGATGTTAAATTTACTTATATATTTAATTCCATGATTCATTAGTTAAATTTTCTTTGGTGTTTAACTTCACTAGTATTCCCATCAATTAATATCAAAGCCTAATTTTGCTTTTATGATCTCAATATTTCAAATTGTGATAGTGATATTTTTAGTGCCAACAAAGAAATAAAATTGGGATTTCTTTATGCATGCTTTAGCTTATATACATAGTTTTTCCATCCAAATGATGCAAAGAGTATATTAATTGGTTTCTTTAAGTGTTTTGTGGAATATCAATTCAATTTTTAAGCCTCTACTTCCACCTTGGTTTCAGACAATTGTTACAGGAAAAACAAATAATTGAGAACCATTAAGATTATGTAAAAGGAAGTCTAGTTTATTATTTTCCTATTTGTTCCACTTTTCTTCTTATATTTAAAAAATCCTTAAAGCAAAAGAGGAAAGCACATTTCAGAGTTTATAAGCAAAATTGAGACACTTTATTAACGGGTTATACAACAACCCGCCTTCAGAATATGACTCACTACCCTGAACTCCACACTTTATGAAACAATTAATCCTAACTCTATAAGCTCCAGGATTTTGTAGCCTTATCAAGCCGTGACTCACATTTCTAGTACTATTCTATTCTTCCTACCAGAATTCAAGGCTAAACAAAAGCTTTAACAGAAAGGAGCAGCTAAATTGTATAAACTGGCTTTGCTGGTGGCACTAGCAGCATTGAAATTGAAAAGAACATCGTCCAAATTCCACAGCCCATCATCCCAAAATATTTCTTCATCTGAGGACTCTGGTGCAGAGACATTATTGTAATTGACAACATTGAACATAGAGTTCAAGTAGCCCTGCTGTTCTGAAGTAGTGTTTGGATACATGTTAACCATTTCTTGTGTCTCTTGAGATATAGATGGCACTCTATGGTCATTTTCCTCAAGCAAATTTATGATCCCTTTCATGTCAAAGTTGAATTGCACTTGTTGCTGTTGCTGAACCTGCTGCTGCTTCAACTGCAGTTGTTGCTGTTGAAATTGCTGCTTCCTTGAGGAACGAATTTTGGCCTTCTCACCAGCATCAGAGGGGCTTTTAGCCTTTTTCTTGAAATGAGTCCTCCAATAATTCTTAATCTCATTATCAGTTCTTCCTGGCAAGCTTCTTGCAATTGTTGACCACCTGAAGTGTTTTTAGTTTATTATCAAAGCTTTTATTATAAAACTCTGTGTCATTCCCGTCACTCTCTAAGTAGAGAAAACATAAGAGTCCAAAGAAATTGTGAATTCAAACTTACCTGTTTCCCCACCTAGCATGCAGCTCTTGAATTATGCTCTCTTCTTGTGGTGTTATCTGACCCTTCTTGAGGTCTGGTCTCAGGTAATTCACCCATCTCAACCTGCAGCTCTTCCCATTTCTCTTCAGCCCTGTCAAGAGAAAAACATGATCAATCATTGGGTCAAAAGAAAAGATATAAAAGAGTGTGAAGAATGAGACACAAGACTCAAGAGTTAAGAATTATCAAAAACATGGTCTAAAAAGGCTGAAAGAATAACTTGTGGGAAGTGAATTAGTGATATTGGACTTATGGTATATACAAAGTTTGTGAAGAATTAATTAAGGAGTAAAACATAGTGTGCATATAAAGTTTGGTAAATATAAACCTGCAAGGGTAGCAACAGAGTTCCATCTGCCTTCACCATGCAACCTGACATATTGAATGAGCAATCTGTCCTCCTCAGCAGTCCAAGGACCCTTCCTCCAACTCTCTTCTTCTATGACACCCCACCCCATGTTCCCTGCCATCACTCCCCAATACATATAAAAAGGTTTCTTCTAAGTTGGCTTTGTGTTCCAAATTTTGATGGTACTGTCTTGTGTTTAATGTTTGTCACATATTTATACCTGCAGGCTGCAGCTATGCCTCGCCTTGATTGATTCTACCAGTCAACCAATCGTTGTTTTCTTATAATCCCTGTCCGTGTCACTGTTCCAGACGCGGATTATGTTGTCTAATGAAAAACGACAAGTCACTTACTAATTTTTTTAAACAACTTCAAAGGCAAATATATGTTCAAAAGAATAATTATATAATGATATACCAAGTGTTTTTTTTTTTCTTTTGTCACCGATATCTCTCAATTCACTGAGTTATGAACTAATCTCGTAATGCTAGCCTAATAAGTTTTCAGCCACAATAAAATTTCAACATAAAATTCTCCGTTAAATAGTTAATGAAACATTGCAAGAATCAATTAGTACCAATGAAATGAAACATGATGCTAAAATCAATAGATATTTTAACATAATGACAAAATATAATAATGTTAGTCGTATTTATACGAGTTTGAGATGAGTTAAATTTCATAATAAAAGGTTTAAAACTTTTCGTGAACAATATAAGCTAATAGTGTAACAATAAAATAATTTTATTTATACTAAAATTTACAAAGTTTAGTAACTTTTACCACTAAAATAAAAATAAAAATAAAAAACTCATTAAATAAGATACCAAATGTTTAGCTGAAAGTAAAAACCCACGTTGACAGGCCAAAAGGATCATTAAGATATGAATAGAAAACTATTTAATTTATGTTGTTTTTCCTTCCCTGAAACCAAGTACATCCACGTGGATGTTTAGAATGACTTGATTGTTATATTACTGTCCTTTTAAAGAACCCCTCTAAATTATTGTAAGGTAGATAATTATGATAATATTAGATATTTTCTTCTTTTAGTGTTTTCTAGTGTGAAGCCCTAATTATTGGTCACTTAGTTTCAAGTTTCAAGTTCAGTTAGTAACCCTAAAAATTAACATTTTTCTTATTCACGAATATATAGAGAAAATTTTGTAGTTAAGTATTGACTTTAGCTAACCCAATAACTTAGGAGGGTATCTATTATTTGATTGATGTACTACCATGTCATTAATCGGTACTAAATTTAATCTCTTAAATAAATTATCAGACTTAAATTTTATGTATGAAAAAAATATAATTTGAAGTGGATAATATATAGTACAAAAATACTTGTACTAAAACACCCAAGTTTATGATAACAACTTTACCAAAATATCCTTACCCTGAATTATTTACGTCTGATTGATGTTACCCTTTACCCTTTAATTAACAGGCATCACGCCTAAGCAAAATCTACTTCCTCACCAACAAAATCTTGTGCCACCGGAAGGGCTTGGAAGAAGAAACAAAGAAAATAAAATAGGAAGGGCTTGGTTGACTGCAATCAATTAGTCATCATGGAATAACATGCTACTATAACACAAGGGCATATTAGGAAAACTCAAGACCATGCTAAACTATTAGGTGACATGTTTAACCAAGTTCAAATTAAACACAAATTATATTTATTTTATGCCAAGACAAGAAAGGAAAAGGAAGGAGAAATCTTGAGTTGGCGACACGTGTGAACTAGGTTTCATGCATCTGGACACAAAATTACTAGTTAAGAAGCATAATCTAAGGAATGAGATATAAAATATTAAGTAGTGAGGATCTTTTGAAGTGAAAAGTACAAGATCCCCAATGGGAATTCCCCAGGTGTTGGACTGCTTACCTCTTTCGGGGATCAATACAGATAATTATGAAATTTCATTAAAATATAATAAGATTGGATACCATTTTGGGTATTGGGGTGAATTAAATATTATCGTTATGATGGGTGGCGTCATCGTGGGACAGGTGGTGCCTCGTACTTATAGAGTAATGGGGGTGTATGAATGCAAAGAAAAAAAAAACAATAGAGAGGAAAAAACAATAAAAGTGAGAAAATTAAATATATAATAATGATGTGATAGGAAATTAAAGAAAAAGAAAGAAAAATAGGCTAGGGTGGAGGTGAGATGAAAGATTATATAGATCATAGATGTATTATTATTATTTTTTTTCTTTTTTCACGTCATGTATAGATGTATGCTAAGTATTTTTTATTTTTTGAAAGATAGGATTTGTTGCAACATTTTTTAATGTTTTATTTGGGGTAAATTTTAATTTAAGGGATAAAAAGAACTCCTCTATCCGAAATAATTTTTACTTTTTAATTAGATTACTATATTACTTAAACTTACACCTTTTTCTTTTATAGACTATATTACTATATTATCGAAAGACAAAGACCAAGTTCATATTTGGCTGTTTTAATTACATTATTATATATTAAAATAGAAGATTATATCCCTAGTTAAGAATTAATAAGTGGGAAAGTATGTAATGCATATAGACGCATGAATATATATATATATATATATATATATATATAAATATAT